CGAGATGCATTAGACTCCACAGAAGAGCAACATCACTTAGCTCCCTCCTTGGTGCCAGGGTGATTCAGCAACCTGTACATGGATTACTTCACTGGCTACTAAGTTCTCCTTGTTTCTGCCTTGTGCCTCCTCGGGAGACTAGCGCAGAGCTCAGATCTCTCTACAAACTACCTTCTGGGGATGTGTGTTATTAACGGCTGGAGAGAGACTAGTGAAAATAAAAATGGATCAGAAATTAGAGGATGTGGTTCCAAGTCTATACCTCTTGGCTGTGTAATGAATAAATAATATAAGTTCCTTAAAGCCTTAATTACCTCATGTAATAAATGCGTATGATCAGAAAGATTCCTCATTTTGCAGTGCTTTGTGAGAATTATATAAGGCAGAGGATGAGAAAATTCTTTGTAAATGGAAGCAGGTTTTAAGGCTGCCAGTTAAACTCCCGATTCACTTAACACTTTGGGCTGTGACGGACAGCTGTACCTCAATTTATTTAGTTACTGACTTGAACACTTAGTTCACACATGCTATTGAGAAACTGCTACAGAGTCTGGGATTAAGCCTGGAAAGAACATCAAAATCTTTCCTGGAAACATCACAATTATGATACCACCATGGACTGTGAGACCCATGGGGGATAGGAAATTCGATTCATTCTTGTGTCCCCACTCTGTCTGTGGCCCAACGTTAGCACACAGCAACGTGCCAGTCATGTAACTGGTGTTCAGGATATAGCCAATCAATCAACATATTAAAGGCAGAACATCAAATACCTCTAGTCTGGTCCCCTCTGATCCATAACCCACATAATTGCCAGAATGATCTCTCTAAATGCAAATCAGACACACCTATTCCTTGATTAAAGCCTTCCAAGACTTTCCATGCTCTTAAGGAGATAGTTCAGATGTCTTAGCCTAGTACCAAGGCTATAACTTTCCTATCCAAACAGACCTTCTCCTGTCCAGTGTGGACACTGCAGCATTGTCACACTGCTCATAAATAACAGGGCATTGGCTCACTCCCGATCATATACATATGGTATATATGAAAATACTTATATACACAAAGAGATGTATCATAAGGAATTGTGTCACACAGTTATGGAGGCTAAGAAGACTCAAGATCTGCAGTTGGCAAGCTGGAGACCCAGGGAAACAGATGGTATAGTTCCAATCTGAGTCTGAAGGTCTGAGAACCAGGAGAGCAGATCTTGTAAGCTCCAGTCCAGAAGCCAGCAGGCTTGAGACCCAAGAAGAGCTGATGCTCAGTCAAGAAAGAATGATGTCCCAGCTCAGTGCAGTCAGGCACAAGGAGTTCCTTCTCACTCAGGCTTTTGGTCCCATTCAGGCCTTCAACTAATTGGATGAGGCTCATCCACATTATAGAGGGCAATGTGCTTTACTCTGCCAACTCACATCTTAATCTCATCCAGACATACATTCACAAACATACCCAGAATAATGTTTGACCAAATTTCTGGGCTTCCTGTGGTACAGTCAGGTTGCACTTAAAATTAACCACCACAGGATATTTTTGAAAACAAACTTGTTTTGTGTTAGAATTTTCACTATGTCCAGGATCTTCTTGTTTCCTTTGTCTCAAATTTTCCTGAAAATTAAAAGATACCTGATATGTAGCCAAGTGGAAGCTGTTCTGTAGGACACCAGGAGTTAACATTTTCATAAAACGAAGATAGTACCTGGGAGACTGATCTCACAAAATGAAAGGGCTCTCTGAAACACACTGGTTCCTTAGGAAACGTGAGGGATGGGGTTACTCATTACTGAAAGAATGTAAGCAGCTCTTGTTCCACCACTGGAAGGGCTACTTTAGAGTGACTCTTAGTCACACACTTCTTTTAACCCAGGACCCTGTTCAGTGATCAAGATAGAAGGTGGTCCTTCAGTATATTCCAGGGCATGACAGTATACTTAGTATAGGGCTTGACACCTTAATAAATATTTGCTTAATGAAAGGAAGTGTCAATAAATGATTAATGAGCTGACTCGAAGATACTGTAGGATATTATTTTTCTCCTTTCCCTCAATATTTGGATCAATACAAATATTATATTTACGTAAGGGATTGATACTACTTCACTAGTCTCACACAGCCAGAAAGTAGGGAAGCCAGGACTCATACTTAGATTCTCTGCCTTCCACTACTCACTGCTAACATTCATGTTGGCCTATAAACAATTTGGGAAATATCTGCAATTTAACAATCCATTTTCTATATACAGGGTATTGAGAGCTGTGAATCACAAGAAAACACATGGGGAGGGATGTGGAAGATGGGATTTTATCCATGCCACAAAGAAAGAAACAAGATCAAATTCTCATGTGTCATTAGAAAGCAAATCTGTCAATTCCAATTAATACTTGGAATCCCAATTAATAGTTGGTTTAAGTCAAATTCCAATTACTAATTTCCAAAACACCAAAAAATACGCCAAAGCCTTGCAATGTAATAGTGAGTCAACTGCTCATTATAACCATTTCTTGCATCTAAAAAGTTAGCCATAGAAAAACTTATTAAGAGTGTAGACCTTGGGGTGCCTGGGTGGCTCAGTCAGTTGAGCATCCTACTCTTGGTTTTGGCTCAGGTCATGATCTTATGGGTCATGGGATTAAGCCCAGCTCAGGCTCCAAGCTCAGCAGGGAGTCTGCATGAAGGATTCTCTCCCTCTGCCCCTTCCCACACTTGCACACACTTTCTCTCTCTCTCTCAAATAAATAAATCTTTTTTTTTTTAAAGAGTGTAGACCTTAAGTGTTCTCATCACATTTAAAAAAAACAAAAGTTACCTTTGTGCAGTGATGGATGTGTCAATTAATCTGAGAGAGGTAATTGTTTCACAAAATATATGTATGTCAAATCATCCCATTGTACACTTTAAATATACACAGTTTTATTTGCCAATTATACCACAATAAAGCTAAAAAATAGTTAGCCATAGGCAGAGCTCTGGAACGAAACAGACAGAAGAAAGTGCTACTTTTTCTGCTAGTCACATCCTTCAATTTTCCTCTGGTTAAGAAAAATACCAATAGATTGGGTAACTCAGTAGGAAAAGGGAAGTGCCACTTTGACTTAATATTTGCAAACTGCTTTAATGTTTAACAAAAGTGTTACCTTGCTTAGTTGTCACAACCCTCTCAGGTGACTAATCTCCTTTCTACTGGTAGGGAAGCTGAGTCTATACAGTATTAAGTGGTAGAACTAGGATTTGGATTCAGTCAGCTGACCCTTGCTCCAGAGTTCTTTCTCCCATTCAGTATACACCATCTCAGAAGAAGCAAGACGAAATTATGCTGCTTTCTTTACTCTAAAACCTATTTTTAAATTAGCTTTATTGAGGTCAAACTGATACCCCCAAAAGCACACATTTAATGTATACATCTGTGGGTTTGGACATATGCACATACCTATGATACCGTCACCACAACCAAGATACTAAACATATCCATCACTTCCAAAACTTTCCTTGTTTTCTTGTGTCTGTGTGTATGTATGTGTTTCTTGGTAAGAACACACACTGCTGTTGAACAGTAGATCTTTAGAACTTAATCATCATGCATAACAGAAACTTTATACCCATTGAGAAAACCCATCTTTAATTAGAGAGAGCCCCGCTGTCTCTGAAATAAACCCTGACACTCTTGAATGGAGGTAAATTTATGTTTCTTAAATTACCCAGTGAAAATGTCACACCCCTACAAAACAATGGATTTTATCTTCTTCTAATTAAAATTGATTTATTAATCTTTTTTTTCCCTTTACTTTTAGAGGCGGGGGGCATGGAGAGGGGCAGAGGGAGAGGGAGAAAAAGAATCTTTTTTTTTTTAAGATTTATTTATTTTTGAGAGAGGGGGAGGGGCAGAAGGCATGAGAGAGAGAGAGAGAGAGAGAGAGAGTCACAAGCAGACTCTGTGCTGAGCATGGAGCCTGACGTGGGGCTAAATCTCACAACCCTGAGATCATGACCTGAGCTGAAATCAAGAGTCAGACACTTAACCAACTGAGCCACCCAGGTGCTCCTAATTTATTAATCATTTCGACACATGTGTTTGAAGTCCACTGTGTGCTCATCTACGCGTTTGGAAGATATATTTATCAGAGTTTACTTCACTAGCTCTTATTTCAGTGCTAACCAGTGCTCTTCAGAGACTAGCTGTCTATGTGCTGAGTGTTTTGAGATGAGCCAAATGGAGACCCTGTCCTCCAGGCATAGTAGATGCTTAAGTAATTGGAGTGCAATGTAAGAACTGTCATGATGGAGGAGGAATTGGAGTTAGGATGAGAACTTGACTCATGGATGTTAGAACAGGATTCTCAGGAAGAGTAATCTAAGGGGCTCTCCCAGGAAATGACAGGAAGAATAGGTAGTTAAAGGGGCATCCCTCACAGATGGAACAATTTGGACAAAGACATGGCACATTGTGGGTCTCTGGGAAACTCCAAGCAGAACGTTATGATAGAAACATAAGGAAAAGGTAAAAACTCAGAGGCAATGAGATGAGGAAACCAGTCACAACTATACCATAGCATGCATGTATAACAGATTTCTGTAAGCATTTTCCCAGAATCTTTCCACTGTTCCATTGGGAAACCAGGCTTTCTACTGGGTTATCAGTTCTCCAAAGGGTGTTGGTGATCTTATAGCTGAGGAATGAAGAGATGTCAACGTTCTTTCCACCTAGCTTTGTTGGAACATTATTTCCACAATTAAGAGATGAGAGAAGAAAAAAAAATCCCATTTTATAGCAATCCTGGAAGAGGAAATTAGTTCCACCCTGTATCTTAGCCTTGCATTTACTTGGGATACTTTTCCTCATATGCTGGGGTGGGGGTGGGGGCACATGGCAAACTGTTCTTGGGGAATTGAACTGTTTTAGAATACTAAAATATTGATAGTTGTGTTTCAAATGGCTTCCCTCCACAAATTTGTAGAGATGCTGTTTTTGGTTTTGTTTTATTTTTGTTTTTGTTTGGCCGCAGGAGAAACATAGAAAATCATCCAAGGAACATAACCGGAAGCCATGCTAGAAGAATAAAGAGAGCTTCAAGAGGTAGGAAAAGTCAGTGATGACCTTTGGCTAAAAGAACCAGAGAGGAAGATTGTGCAAGCCATCAGCAGGCTCATGCTTGGGAAATTAGCGCTTCCTTTCATCAGACTCCTGGAAAATATTTAATTTTTGAAAACAAGTTGCAAGAAACTCAGTATTTCTGCCAGTAACTTAGAAAAACAAAATATTAAACGTTAGGGCTGAGAGGAATGTGAAAAGCCAGCTGGTCCAATCTCTCTCAACAGACAGATAAGAAGAATGAAACAAAAGAAGTGGTTTGCTCAAGGTCAAACATCCTATCTTCTCCATTCGTAACCTGGGCCCAAAGAAGGTTAGAACTCAAATGGAACTAACTCTCTCCTGAGCTTCTTGCAATATGCCAATTAAATTATATTTTCCCTCAAAACATAAGTTGTCTTTTAGTGACTAGAACAAAATTTTGAGAATGAAAGAGCAGGGGAGAAAAGAAGAGAAGGAAAGAGAAGAGGAGGAGGAGGAGGAGAGTAGGTACATTCAAATTCCCACTTGGGTCAAAATAAAGTTGCTTAAGAGAATTTTTTCAAAATAACAGTAACTAAGACCCATCCCTGTTAGAAAGTTAGAGACATTCCACAATTTGTTCATCACATAACAAACTCTAATAATACTTCATCTAGCAAAGAGGGTGGTCTTGGACTCACTCTCATGCAACCTGTGCTGAGGAATTCTGCTTGGGATAACTGGAATGTTTACAGGAACTTTGACCAACAGTGAGGTCTTGGAATGTAGTCTAAACATACAGAACAAAGATCTCACACTGGCATGGAAAACCAGTGATTTGGAGCTGGGAAGCTAGTGTTCTGGTCCCTGCTCTGACACTAACACATTAGACAAGTGCCCCACACCAACCGTCTCTTTCTGGAGGCCAGGAATTCTATCTATAAAATGGTAGCACTGACCTTGGAGAACCTTAAAAACACCCTGTTGTTTTATACCATCATGCATTTGTGCCTGGAATATCACTCTTCTTTACTCCTCTTTAAAATCGTCTTTCTGATTCTTCAGGCATTGCCTTCACCAGGAAAACTTCCCTTTCAGACATCCTCACACCCACTCCCTGCTCTACCCTGAATCAAGAACTCCTCTTTAGGCCTCCACACCACTCTGTGCTTATTATTACCTTTATTACAACACTTTATAAATTATTCTGGACGTTGAAAAGCCATCGAGACAATAGTCATCCAATTAACTACCACCCAATTAAAATAATACTTTAAATCTATTTCTGTCACAGGATTTAAAAAATATTATCTTGAAATCATCTCTGCACCCAGCTCTCTACTTACTATCTTCAAAAAAGTTTAGAACTGAAATGGAGCTTTCTTGGAGTTCATGCAGTATGGGTAATTAAAGGGTATTTCCTCCAAATTATAAATTGTCTTTCAGTGACAAAATGCAACAGAAATTTAAGGATGAAGTAGTGAAGCAAAAAAACAGAGCAGGAGAGAAAGGAAACATATCAGGAATAATCTTTAATTCATTCTCTGAAATTATTAGCATCAAACACCATTCCTGGTAGATGCTAAATATATATATATATATATATATATTTTAAATTTTATTATGTTATGTTAGTAACCATATAATACATCATTGGTTTTTGATGTGGTGATCCACGATCCATTGTTTTCGTATAACACCCAGTGCTCCATGCAGTACGTGCCCTCCTTAATACCCATCACCGGGCTAACCAATCCCCCCCCCTCCCCTCTAAAACCCTGTTTGTTTCTCAGAGTCCATAGTCTCTCATGGTTCATCTCTCCCTCCAATTCCACCCCCCCATTTTCCCCTTCCTTCTCCTAATGTCCTCCATGCTATTCCTTATGTTCCACAAATAAGTGAAACCATATGATAATTGACTTTCTCTGCTTGACTTATTTCACTTAGCATAATCTCCAGTCCAATCCATGTTGATGTAAAAGTTGGGTATTCATCCTTTCTGATGGCTGAGTAATATTCCATTGTATATATGGGCCACATCTTCTTTATCCATTCATCTGTTGAGGGGCATCTCGGCTCTTTCCACAGTTTGGCTATTGAGGACATTGCTGCTATGAACGTTGGGGTGCATATGGCCCTTCTTTTCACTACATCTGTGTCTTTGGGGTAAATACCCAGTAGTGCAATTGCTGGGTCATAGGGTAGCTCTATATTTAATTTTTTGAGGCACCTCCACACTGTTTTCCAAAGTGACTATACCAACTTGCATTCCCACCAACAGTGTAAGAGGGTTCCCCTTTCTCCACAACCTCTCCAACATTTGTTGTTTCTTTCTCTGTCCATTTTTGCCATTCTAACTGGTGTAAGGTGGTATCTCAATGTGGTTTTGATTTGAATTTCCCTGGTGGCTAATGATGATGACCATTTCTAAAAGTGATCTAAACTATAGTCACAGGTTATCTAAAATAATGAGATTATAAGAAAGGTTCAGTTCCCAAAAACCCAAGATAAAGAGCAACCCTTCAAGTATCCCTTCTCAATAACTTCAATGGACTTCTTTGCAACAGCTCCATGGCAAAGCCATGACATCACCATGTAGGGTTTGTGGCATTTATCTAAGCAATGTTTCAATTGAGCTCTTCCCAAACTGTAGCCAAAACAAGCTGTCTTATTCCCTGAGGCAATGGCCAAGGCTTGGAAACCCTGAGTGTACACACACATAAATCTCAAGGCGAAGAAACATGTTTAACCTTTAAAGAACTTAGACGTATTTCTATCTTCAAAGCTGTTTGGTTTTATGGTAAACAGGATAGGACTGTCCAGAGATATGTGAACATTTAGAGAAGAAGATGTGCGTGTACATGCTTCAGTCAAGGTAGTGGCATTCTTTGAAATATCCTGAGAGCTATGAAACAAGACTCAGACATTCACGAGACTGCATCTCTAGGCATGAGTTCTCATCAGTGAAGAAGGATATTTTGCATCTGCATATAGTCCCATGATCCTATTGAGAGAAAATGGAGTCCATTATCATTGTGTAAAGCCCCCTACAGAGGAAAGAACCCTGGAATACAAACTTGGATTACCAAATGTTCCATTGACTCTCCGTATGATCTTGAGCAGGTTGTTTTTCTCCTCTGGACTGTTTCCTTATCTATAATTCTATAATTCAATGATAAAATATACTATCATACTATCACTTTCTCAAGGAGACTTTTTCTCTTTTCACACCAGACTGGGACCCATTCTCTTGTTACACACTCACCAAGTATCCTACACTTCTTCATACCATTTAGCACAATTCAAATAATTCATTTACATGGATGGCTCTGCCTTTTATTTTTTAAGCCCCTTGAAGTAAGGATTATAGCTACTGTAGGCACCTTGCCTAGGATAGTGTTTGACTCATCGTATGCTCAATGAATATATGTTGGATTTCTGAATGAATGAATGAATGAATGAATGAATAACAACTGTCTTTCTCCTTCCTTCATGGTAAGTCCTTCACTTATCTGATACTTCTGCTTTGGATATCATAAATGTTAAAAATGCAGGTTTTGGAATTCAGCAGACATGGATTCGAGTCTTGGGCTGCAACTAACCTGACTGTGATCAGATTATTTCATTGTGTTAAACCTCACGTTCTGCATTTATATATGGGAGATATTACATATCTCATAAGATTCTGCATTTATATATGGGAGATATTACATATCTCATAAGATTGTTATGAAGATAAAATAACAGACTGTTAGATTCTTGAGAATACTGGTACATAGTTCATTAAATGTGAGCTATCATTACAATTTTATTATTTATTTTGTTAGAAATCCCTTGACTCTCCATTCCATTCCATTCTAGGTAAAATGCAATTATATAACCATAATGTCAAATTATTTTAAAATAAAGAAAAATGTGTAAGTGGAAACAAAGTCAAACAACAAAAGATATTCATCAAAATCTCTTCAGCAAGAGGTGAAAGGACAAGATCTCTTTTGAAATTGAAGAACCCATATTCTTCAAAAACTGATAATGTGTTGAGAATGGGGAGTTCAAGGGAGATAAATGATGTACTTCTCCATAGTAACTACTCACAGTGTCCTCATAACTTAAGATCTACTGAAGTGAGATACTGGCCATTTAAGGGCTTATTTGTCCAGAGAAGATGTGTAAGGGGTCAAACTCCATGTTAATTGTTGATGGGGACACACTGTACTGTTTGAAATGCAGTATACTGCTGACATTCTCAAAAGCCCTATCAGAACTATTAATCCATGGGAAGCCCCAGAACCAACTATAAACACAGGAGAAGTTTTATTATATTTAATATTTCTAAGCTGGCCAAAAATGGCTTTTATTCAAGATGGTTTTATGCTTCCACTTTTGGACTGCACCAGTCTGTGAACATAAAGTGAGGAAAAAATTTAAAACAAAACAAAACAAAAAACACACACACAGAAAAAAACCCGAGTCTTGTGTCTCCTTTTAAAGAAGAACAGTTAGACGTGGGTCTAGAAATGGATCAAAGTAGGGAATAAGACTTATTTACTTAGCAAACACATCATACCCTGAGTTCATTGGGAACTTTCATAAGTATCTCACTTAATCCTCATTGTGATTCTGAACTACAAGTATTACAATAGAAAAGCCAAGTTTCAGAAAGGTTAAGCTCAAGACTAGCTTAACAATTGCAGGACCCAGTGAAAATTAAAAATGCATGACTCCTTGTTAAAAACTACTGGGAATTTCAAGATGGCAACAGCGGAATTTTTTTTTTTTTAAGATTTTTATTTATTTCAGAGACAGAGAGTGTGCATGTATAAGTGCAGGGAAGCAGCAGAGGGAGAGGGAGAAGCAGACTTCTCCACTTAGCAGGGAGCCTGATGTGGGGCTCGATCCCAGGACCCTGGGACCATGACCTGAGCAGAAGGCAGACGCTTAACTGACTGAGCCACCCAGGTGCACAGCGGAATATTAAAGCAAGTGTGGGGACCTTCTAAGTGCAGGGTCTTATGTGACTATAC